GGAGGGGCTGTGTGCAGGTGTGTGTGCGTGGGTTGTGTGCCCAGGTGTGGGTCTCCCCCGCCAGAGTGTGCGCGCGGCTCGCGGCGTTGGCTGCCGTGTCCGCGCTGGCTGTCCCTCCGAGGGTCTGTGTACCGGGTGCGCCCGCTCGGGTGTCCATTTGTGTGTGAGTGTGTGTCTGCGGGTTGTGTCTCCGAGGGTGTGTATCCGCGGGTCCGTGTCAGGTTCCCAGCCGGGGGCTGAGGCTCGGCGCCTTGTGGGTCCGGGCCTCTGTGTGGGTTTGGGGGAGGGGAGTCCGCCGCTCCCTCCGTCCATGTCAACTGGGGGGTCCTCAGCGGTCCTTGGGGGAAGCGGCCATGTCTTCCCCTTCCCGGTGGCTGGGGCGGGGGGATGGGCAGCCGGGAGGTGGACAGATGGAGGGGGGATGAGAGGCCGAGAGATGGACAGATGGGCCCTGGGGTGGGGGTGGGGGCGAAGACCCGGCCCTTCCCCACCCACCCCACCCTAATTCCCCCACCAGCCAGATGTCTGCAGATGAGGCCAGAGTTGCTTACATCCTGATGGCCAGGCGGGCGGACCTTGGGGCTGGTAGTGGGAGGATCTCCTTGGAATGATGGTCTAGGACTCAACCCCCAAACCCTCTGAGATTCCACTTGCTGAACTCTGACCTCTGGCCCTTGCTTGTGCCCTGGTTTTGAGGGAGGGGAATGCAGAATGTGCTGGGAGGGGTGTTAGGACTTCTTTGGCCTGGGAAAAAGGTGGGGCAGGGGTACCTTCAGGCTGGGAGGTATGGGTGTCCAAGACTGTGTGTGAGTGTGAATCTGGGCCTGTCCATTGACTGTGCTACTGTGGTTCAGTATTCTGTGTGCATTTGTAAGTGTAAATTCCTTACAGGACTGTTGTGTGAGCATGTGTCTGTTCTGCAAAGGTGGGTCTTTTTGTGCCTGTGTGCTTTTAACAGGGTGTACCAGCCTTGGGGTATTTGTATGTGCTTGTGGTTCTGAGTGTGTCTGTGAGGTGTGTATCAGCTAGTGTGTGCATGTGTCAGCTCATGACAGCAATGTGGGAACATGTGAAGTTGTATGAGTGTGTTTGGGGATTTAAGAGTGTCCACCAGTATATCTTGGTGTAGGTGTGTATCTGTTATGTGTGTGTGCCCTGTGTACTTACTGGTAAGTGTGCAAGGTATACCTGTTATAGGTGCATGTACCTGGTTGTCTGTTAGGGGGCACATGAGTTTCTCTGTGGTATCTGGATTTGTGTGTGTGTGAATGTGCAAAGAAAAGTCGGTGTTGCACGTGTGATGTTGTATGCAGGTGTGACAACCTCGAGGGTATGTCTTCCTCTATGTTGTAGTCTGTGCTTGTGTTGGTCTCTGGGGAGTGGGGTGGGGTTATGTGTGTGTTCAAACATATATGTGTAGGATTCACATGCCTGTGCCCCTTGCACAAGGCAGACCCTGGCGGGCCCAGTGGGATTGAGGCCCATGTGACACGACCTGTGGTCCCTGGACACCATGTGTCCATATCCCAGGCCAAGTGCCCATAGAGGGCGGGGGACACAGATCATGCTGGTGTGTCCATGGAAATCCAGATGTGGAGACTTAGGTCGTGGGCCCACGTGGGTGTTGACACATCCGCATGTGTTGGTGTGGGCAGTGGCGTGATGGCAGGGGTGGGAAACCCCTTCCTTCCCCCAGCTCCTGGTACCACTCAGGGCTTTGCAGTTGAGGGGCTGGATGGGAACTCTTGGCTTTTAAAGGAGAAGGGCCAGGGGTCTGGTTCAGACTCCTGGTCTGAGGGAGGAGGGGACTGGGATCTCTGGCTCTTGAGTCTCAGGTGACAAAGAGCTAGGATCCTGGACTCCTGGGTTTTGGAGGGGGAACAGTCCTGAGGCCCAGTCTCCTACCTAGGTTTCCAGAGATGACTTCTAGGCCCCTCTGAAACGATGCACAAGCTGCAGCAGGAGGGCTGAGTAAATGATCACACCAGAGACTTCCTGGTCTCCAAGGCAGCGTGTGGTGCCCAGAGAAGAACCAGAAGGATGCTAACAAGGTGGTTTGTTTCTTTGCAGGTACTGGCCCAGGCCCTGATTCCCTGAAGAGAGGTGAGTGGAGCCCTAAGGCCAAGGAGAGAGGTGTGGTGTGATGGGGCTTGCTCTGAGCCAACTGGAGGCCTGGAACCCCATCTAGCAAGGATTTCAGTGCAGGGTATGACAGTATCCTGAAGGGCTAGCCCCTTCCCTCCCCCAAGGCTAGGGAGTAGTGACAAGGTCAGGAGCATCATGGTTAGATAAGGGCTTGTGGTGGCTGGGGCCAATGGGGGTCTCAGGCCAGGAGGCTTGCCCTCTTAGGATGGGTAAGGTGGTCGGGAAAGTGAGGTTTCCTCATGAGCACTTGAGCACTCTGGGAGGGTGAGGCAGGAGGATCGCTTGAGGTCAGGCGTTCAAGACCAGCCTTGGTAGCGTGGGGAGACCCTGTCTCTATTTTAAAAAAAGAAATGAAAAAAAGACATCAAATGACCCCTGTGTGTAGAGAGTTGAGTGGATATGTGTGAAGATGCATGTATGTAGGAAGGTCCCCTGATAGCCTGACCTGCTGCTGGCTGACAGCTGGAGAACATAATACATTAATAATAATAATAATAGTAATAATGGCAGCAGCTAAAATTTTATAGTGTTTGCTTTGTCAGGAACTTTCTAAGCATGTCATCAAACGTAATCTCATCGAATCCTCACAACAACCCTATGAGGTAGGTGCTTATCATCATTTCCATTGTGTAGATGAGCACACTGAGCCACCAAGAGGGGAAGCTACTTGACTAAAGTCACACAGTGAGGAATTGGGGTGTACACCCAGGCAGTGGGGTCCAGATTCTGTCCTGCACTGCTGTACCACCTTTTCATTAATGTGAGATGTCTTCACTGCCATTATTAGTCTATCCATTTAAGTTCCATCCCGATGGTGGGAGGCTTCAAAGTTCTGTACTTTTGTTTCATAGATTGGGGTTCGGAGCCCTGGAGATCCCACAGCCAAGCAGGTGCATAACTGGGGCTCCTGACTCCAGAGTCGCCCTTTCCAGGCCAAAGTTTTCAGTACGATGTAAAACAGTGTCCTAGAGGGAGTGAAAGGCGAGTTGGGGGGATTCAGAGACGGCAGGACACCCTGGACCCACCTGTTTTTCTCTCTTCAGTCCCATTGCTGTCTCCCTCAGTCTCTGTCTCCTTCCTCCTCTGTTGTTTTTTTTTGAGTTGGAGTCTCACTCTGTCACTCCCGGCCACTGCAGCCTCGACCTGCTGGGCGCCGGCGATTCTTCCCCCTCAGCCTTCCAGGTAGCTGGAACTACAGGCGTGCGCTACCACGCCCGGCTAATTCCTCTGTTTTTGTCCGACACTCTCTGTCTTTCCCTCTGCCTGTCTCTCCCTCTCTGCCTCTCCCCAGCCCTGTGTCTCAGTCTCTCTTTTCTGTATCTCCTTCACTGTTTTCTGTCTCTCTACTTCTGTCTCACTTCCTATGTTTTCACCTTCCTTTCAGACTCTTCCTTTTTTTTTGGTCTCTCTGTCTCTCTCTCTCTGAATCAGTCTCTTTCTCTCTGCCAACCCATCTCTCCCTCCCCCTTGCCTCTCCCTGTCTCTCTTCACCTCTTTCTCTAACTTTCTTGGTTTCAATCCCAAACTCCCTCCCCAGGGGCAGGAAGATCAGGCCCTGTAAGGCCACAGCCCCACACACAAGTTCCCGGGAGGTCGGCCGGCAGGGGTGGGGTACAGGGGAGGCGGGGTGAAAATGGTTGCAGGGACGCCCCCTTCCCATCCTTTCCTCTTCACCCCCCACCCACCCCATGTTGTGATGGGAGCTGACACATCGTGGGCTGCAGTGCTGCAGGGGGAATCCCCGCCGGAAGGTTTTGCCCGTAGCAGAGGCATAGCAGGGGGGAGAGAGAGAGAGTACGTGTGTGTGTAGGCATGTACGGGGCTTCATGTGCACCCCATGATGTGAGCATGAAAGGTTGCCCTGCTTGGGGGCTCAACTGAGCCCAGAATGAACACAGACTCAGAGAAGGACTTCCTGAGGCCGAACTGGGAGACGGTGATGTGTGTTTCTCAGCCCCTCCTACCTTCACACCCTCTGCCACTGCCAAAGGCGGGAGGGGAAACCCTTAACATTTATTGAGCACTTACTCTGAGCCAGGCACTATGTTCAGTTGTTCATGAACTCAGTGAAGACAGTGGAATTATCATCTCAATTTGCAGATCAAGAAATGACTGCCTAGTTAGAGGAAATCGTTAGTTTGGGGGGAGCCACAGAGCTAGTAAATAGGGGAGCCAGGATTCGAACCTGGATGTATTTGGTTTCAAAGTACCAGCTCTTAATAGTTGTGCATAGTTCTGTGCCTGGTGCATATCAGGCACTTGAGGATGATGGTGATGATAATTGCTAACATGTATTAAGCACATTTCACATGCCAGGTACTGTTCTAAGTACACTATGTTCATTGATCCATTTAATCCTCACAGAGGTAAGGCTTGTTTCTATCTCCATTTTACAGATGAAGAAACCGAGAATCAGAGAGGTTCAGACATTTGCCGGAGGTCATACAACTAGTAAGTGTCAGAGCCAGGATTTGAACCCAGGGAGTATGGTTTTGCCAACCATGCCTTAAACCAGAGTTAACCTGTGATTTTCTTTTCTTTTTTTTTTTTTTTGAGTTGGAGTCTCACTCTGTCACCCAGACTGGAGTGCAGTGACCTCTCCCGGCCACCGCAGCCTTGACCTGCTGGGCTCCGGCGATCCTTCCGCCTTAACCTTCCAA